CCCTTGTTTTGAGTTGTGAGCCGCCCTGAGTCCCCCCTCGGGGGGAAAAGGGCAGCATACAAATGAAATAAACATAAACACACAAACAAACATAAACATATGAGATAGTAATACTTGGCTTAGGCCAGGCCGTAGGGAGTGTAGTTCAAGGGTCTCCAAGCCCAAAACTTTGAGCCTGGTGGCATAAGGGATTCAATCCCACCAGCATGGGCTGTCTTCCTTCAATTCCTGAATTTGTGGAAACTATGATGGAAAAGGAAACAGGTGCAGCACTAAGTAAAGTGTTTAAACTTTCTTAGACAAGGGTCAATTTTTTTTATCAAGGGCTCACTCCCCAGCAACAATTATTCTAATTCTTAAAAAAACCGCACCCTCTATTTTGCTGAGTCATCCTCCCTCCTTCCAAGCCAATCATCGGTTGAAGAACAAATGGTTTTCTATTGGATAGCATCTCTCCTATGATGCTACCCAATTCAGCAGCTGCACCTGGACCCCAGGGCTCTGCCAAATTTCTATTGGTCCTCATCAGCCCATCCATGCCCCCGATTGGTCAGTGGGTCCCGGAGAGGCTTCCTATTGGCCTACTCCTATTTGCTAATTGGTTACCCACCCTTACATTTTGGATATAAGGCCAAAAGTTGATGCTCTCTTCCAGACCCGTTGACCTTCTGAACTTTAGGAACAACCTGCTCTTCCTCACCACTTCAAGATGACTTCTCAGATCCGCCAGAACTACCATGCTGAATGCGAGGCTGCTGTGAACCACCTGGTGAACATCGAACTCCATGCTAGCTATGTCTACCTGTCCATGGTAAGTTACTCTGAATTTACTTTCAGTTGGAAATGTTTGCTTCTTATTTATTGACTTGGGCAAACTTTTGATTTTAGCTCTTTAAAGTTTAAAAAGGCTTAGTTGTGGCAATGTACCTCTTGTTATTTCTTAATGCTGGAGAAATAAGGAGCTCCAATGCATATTTAGCTCTGGGTCTTTGTAACCAAGTCTGGAGTAGCAAGTCTTTAACATGTAAGAAATAAGATACTTTACTGGGGCACTTTCACAAGCTGTTTACAGAGAAATAGTGCCTTCAAAGAACATTAAAACTACAATAAAACTAAAACTCTGGAGGCAGCTCCTAAATTTAGAGTGAACAGTAATTGGGTCTACTGTTAAATTATGGTTTGAGAATATTGCAATGGAATTAACAACCTGTGAGTAACAGTAGTTTAACAGGAAAGAGACTCTTAAAAGTATGAAAAAGGTCTTGGGTCTCTTTTATGTAGTAAGTCTGCCATTCTGTCAATTTTACTTAGTGTAATATCAACAATTTACAACTTGCCTTGGGAAGCTATTGGGAGTTTACTTCAGTGGGTTGTGTGTATATACACACACATCTCACAGGCAATTTAATTTGTTGAGCTAGTTTTAGGTAGAAACCGGCTCTACTCTTTAGATAAAGAGTATCTAGAAACTTTGGTACGTTTAGATAACTTCTAAAAATTGTCTGCTAATGTATTCCTTCTGGTTTCCTAGGCCCATCACTTTGAACGTGACGATGTAGCTTTAAGCCATCTGGCCAAGTTCTTGAAGGAGCAATCTCAGGAGGAGAAAGAGCATGCCGAAAAGTTTCTGAAGTACCAAAACAAGCGAGGAGGACGTATTGTGTTGCAAGATATCAAGGTGAGGAAACAAAGCGTTTGGGGATTTCGTGAAAGTGGGGGAGAGGGCTAGTAGCATGAGACCTTGATAGCAAGGCGTTTGTACCTAATCACAAGCCCGTTTTGTTTTTAATACACAGAAGCCAGAGAAAGACGAATGGGGCAACAGTTTAGAGACCCTTGAACAAGCCCTGAAGCTGGAGAAGGAAGTCAACCAGGCTTTGCTGGATCTACACAAGCTGGCAACGGAGAAAGTTGACCCCCATGTAAGTAAACCGAGCCAATAGTAAAGATAGGAAGAGGGGCAAATGCCAAAACTTGCCCAATTTTTTTAAAAAAAAGAAAAACTAACTTGGTTTAGGCATGATTTGATATGCACCTAGAATGCTACTGTTCTTGAAATCCTGTGGCTTTTTAGTCCCAAATAGCTTAACTATTTCTTTACTCACTGTAGAGGCTTTTCTTGCTACGAAGGACGGTCCATGTGTGGCTTGTTTTTCTTAGAAGTAAAAATGGAAGCTAAGTCATAGTTTGTTCTCCTAAACCTAGCAAACTTTCTTTTTTTGCCCCCTCAGCTCTCTGACTTTCTGGAGAATGAATTCCTGGAGGAGCAAGTGAAGGCCATCAAACTCCTGGGAGACCATTGTACCAACTTGAA